AAAGGCAAACATTATAATACTTTCTCGTTTGCCGTCAGCATTCAGCAAATATGCATTTACATCATTTAAACAAATCTTTGAATGACTAATGAACATCTAATTTCAAAAACCTTGCAAACTTAGTCGAGATCTTATGAAGTGTGCATTTGTATCCTGCACGATCGCGTGATCTCTGCGTGACGGTCGGTCCGTGCGAACTGAATGCGGACAGGAGTAGAGTTAAGCTTCATTGCTGACTGAAGTGCATCAGTGAATGAAATGTCACAGTTTTGCATTGTGCTTTGAAAACGGCAGCGGGTAGCCTAGATTTATGCTTTTGAATAGAAATCTTATAAAGTACAGTGTGTCGATCTAAAATGCTAATTGTGCATTCGTACGCAAATGTGCTGTCAGAACTTATTTACACTGCGCATTTTTTATTTTGGTCGCGCATGCGCACCTGCGTACCACTTATGTGCACCCCTGCTTTAGACCAATAGTTCACCCAAGCATGAACATTTATAGCTATTATTCATTCACACTCCTATGGGTTTAAGGATGAGTAAATGATGACAGTCATTTTTAGGGATCAATAAAAGAAGAGGCCTATCATTTTTAAATGCTTGAGCTGTGGAGAAACACCAAATATCACTCTATGAATCACTATATAATCAGAGCAATAGTCCTGACACTCATTCCTATGCATCTCGTCTCTGTACAGCGCCAGTAATATGAGTTTATGTAAGCATAGATATTACAAACACATAGGGAAAATTCTGTTTGTTTTTTTTATGACACGTTTTTTTCATGACAACACAGAAATGATTTTGGAAATATATTTTAATAAAAGGGTAGATTTTTTTCATAACACGTGTTGACTTTTTTTTTCTGATGTGTTTTTTCGGTTCTCTGTGAAATGATTTATTATTGTATTTTCTGATCATATTAAGCATATTGGTGTTTCTTGAACCATAACACAATACACTATACTTGGCAAAGAGCTATTCAAATCATATGCTTTATTTTCTTGTCAAAAACAATAAATGTACATTAATTTTATTTACTTTTTTAATCAAAATGTATGCCTTGAAATGCAATTGAAGTCAATTTGGGTAAGTGTCTTGCCAAATGCATAGATGTACATTTACAAAAATACCATACTTATTCAGATTAAATACCGTGGTATTTTAAATATGGTACAGTATAATAGTATTTATCAAAACACCGCGATACAAACATTTTAGAACTCACAAATAAAATGTTTCAAATGTTTTATTTTCATAGAACAGTAAAACATAACGTGTCAAATATCGACAAGGACTGTTAAAAATACCGTAAAGGTTGTAAATAAAATAGATTATTGGAGTAGGCTTTGCGAGAAAATACAATTCCAGTCATTTTACGCTATATTCAGTGTATTAAGTGCCGTAATTATTTGTAGTCTTATAGTCTTAAGTCGCTGGGGTATATTTGTAGCAATAGCCAAAAATGCATTGTATGGGTCAAAATTATAGATTTTTCTTTTATGCCAAAAATCATTAGGATATTAAGTAAAGATCATGTTCCATGAAGATATTTTGTAAATTTCCTACCGTAAATATATCAAAGCTTAATTTTTGATTAGTAATATGCATTGCTAAGAACTTCATTTGGACAACTTTAAAGATGATTTTCTCAATATTTAGATTTTTTTGCACCCTCAGATTCCAGATTTTCAAATAGTTATATTCATATCTCAGCCAAATATTGTCCTATCCTAACAAACCATACATCAATGGAAGCTTATTTATTCAACTTTGAGATGGGGTATAAATCTCAATTTTAAAAAATTGACCCTTATGACTGGTTTTGTGCTCCAGGGTCACATTTGTGAAATTTACTAGCAGTTTCTGAGGCAAAATTGTTTCTACTCCCATTAGTATACTGTACGCTATTTCATGCTTTTATTTTGAAATAACTTCCGTGTTGTGTGTATCCGAGCCGGATGTGGATTCCGGGTTCGCAGTCTGAAGTATGGCGGCGTCGGAAGAGGTGACGTTTTTCGTTGTAAACAACATTCCCGCTCTGTTCCGATCCGCAGAGCTGAGGAACTATTTCAGTCAGTTTATCGAGAGTAAAGGGTTTGCGTGTTTCCATTACCGCCATCGTCCGGAGCTTCGAGTGCAGAGCGCGGGGTTTACCGCGGTAAGTAGCGGATCCAGTGAGCGGAGCTCGGAGGGGAAAGCCGCAGGCTCGTGTTGTTGTGTGGTATCGGTTCGCTCTCGGGAATCAGGCAGATTCGTGAAGATGTACTCGGGGAACCACTGGATCGACTCTAAAGGAAACTGGCTGAGAAGAAAGTGTTTGATCCGGAGAGTCAGAGTATCGGAGCAGGCCGGTGAGTGCGCTGCCAAAATAAAAGTCCTACGGCACGACTGTAAAGTGTAGGACAATACTAGTGCTGTCAAACGATTAATCGCATCCAAAATAAGTTTTTGTTTACATAATATATGTGTGTATACTGTATATATTTATTATGTATATATATATATATATTAATACAAAGACATGCATGTATATATTTTTAAGAAAAATGTTTTTTATATATTAAATATGTTTATATATAATATCAAATATAAGAATATGAATATATAAATGTATAAACGTGTAAACTTTTTTCTAAATATATATTGTATGTGTGTGTATTTATATATACATAATAAATATACACAGTACACATAAAAACTTTTATTTTGGATGCGATTAATCGCGATTAATCGTTTGGCAGCACTAGAATAACAATAGCAGTTTGTTATTTTATAGTCACCTGCTAATATTTTTACTGGCCCAAACACAACACAAATAAATAAATAGATGTTATTTTATATGTTAAGATTTATAATTTAATGTTACACTTTAATTAAAATGTTAAAGAATGTAAATTAATTTTTCACTTTATATTTATCACTTTATCACTAAAAATTAAAGGACCTTTTTTCATAAATTAGGATTCATTTATTTTCACATTTAGATTTTTCATAATTAAAATGTGTTCATAAGTTAAGATTTATCATGTAATGTTTACATTGATGTATTTTGTTATTCAATCAAATAAAAAAATATATAAATTGTATCATTTGGTTTACATATGAATATTATATAATTAAAAAGAATGTAATTTTTGATAAATTAAGGTAAATTAAAATTTATAATTGTATATTTGCATTTATACGTTTTATTTACATTTATACGTTTTACGTTTTATGGTATATTTAACAAATTATAAATATAATTTTTATAAATTACTATTTCATAAATTGTGCTTTGTTATTTTCTTATTAATATTTTACTATTTTGTAAAAAAAGATGTATCATTTTATAAGTAAAATGAACAATTATAAATTTAATTTTTTATAAATTAAGATTTATCATTTTATGTATACATTTACAATTTTTGTATTCAAATTAAAAAAATAAATGTTTTTTAATATTAATTAAAATTTATAATTTTATGCATGATCCATGAATTATAATTATATACATTATATACATTAAAAAAATCAGTGAAGACATTGAGTTTATTTTACATTGAGTATATATATATATATATGAGACTATATGGCCATTTAAGGTTCTTCTAAATGTTTTGTGAAGGCGTTGAAGGGTGAACATGAACCATTTGATACATGAACTATTAAATTTCAAAGGGAAAATGGGAATTATGGGTAAATGTCAAGGGTCATCACCTGGTCACACAACACCCTGAAAGATTAAGTAAGATGTCAAGTAAACTAAAGTCAATGTTAACACCCGTCTTAGCAAGGTCCAGGTTGTTTTATAATCATCATATTTTATCTGTGTTTATAGAGCATAATTCATTCCCGTACAAGACGAAGGCCGAGATGAGACGGCATGTCGCCCAATCAGAGCATTTCACGCTGTCGGACCTCAAGGGCCTGCCGGAGCTCAATCCGCCCTCGCTCATGCCGGCGGGGAACGTCGGCACGCCTGTGAGCGTTTTCCTGGAGCTCATCCAGTCCTGCCGCCTGCCGCCGCGGCTCATCCGCAAACTGGGGCTCACGTTTCCCAAGACGGGCTCGAGTCGCCGCTACGGGAACGTGCCCTACCTGTATCACAACACGGCCCTCGTGAGCCGCGCGGAGGAGAGCGTCTTCACCGCCGGAGGAATCGAGATCTCGGCACCTGGCCGCCTGGACACGCCCACAAACTCACAGACAATCGATAAAGGCACGCCCACAAACTCACAGACAATAGATAAGGACACGCCCACAAACTCCCAGACAGTAGATAAGGACACGCCCACAAACTCACAGACAGTAGAGAAGGACACGCCCACAAACTCACAGACAATAGATAAGGACACGCCCACAAACTCACAGACAATAGATAAGGACACGCCCACAAACTCACAGACAATCGATAAAGGCACGCCCACAAACTCACAGACAATAGATAAGGTCACGCCCACAAACTCACATACAATAGATAAGGGCACGCCCACAAACTCCCAGACAATAGATAACGCCACGCCCACAAACTCCCAGACAGTAGATAAGGACACGCCCACAAACTCACAGACAGTAGATAAGGGCACGCCCACAAACTCACAGACAGTATATAAGGACACGCCCACAAACTCACAGACAGTATATAAGGGCACGCCCACAAACTCACAGACAGTAGATAAGGACACGCCCACAAACTCACAGACAGATGAAGAGGACCCGCCCAGTTCTCCACTTGTCAATCAAGAGTCACAGGAAGCAGGAAGTGAAGAGGAGCTGTCCGACCCTGATGATGTGAGTTAGGGCTGCATGATAAAATAATAAAATTTATGTTGCGATATGGCTTAGTGCGGTTGTCATATTGCACAAGCTGCGATTGATTTAAATGAAATTAAAATAAATAAAATTAAAAAAAAAATTTTTATAAATAAAAATTTATCATTTTATATTTTAATATAAATTGTATTTATTTAATTAATGTTTTTTTTTTTTTCAAATATTTTTAAAATTATTCATGGAATTTATATAATTTATCAAATTAATTTATATAAAATATTTTCTAAAACCTAATCTGTTAATCCATTATTATGATTTTACAGTCATATTGAATGGGTCAGAAACAGTGGGAATGTAGCCTTTGAAAAAAATCAGAAAGAGAGTTTTTGTAAAGAATAAACCAAAGTGTGAACACTAGAGTTTTTCATGTTTTTTTTTTTAATTGCTCGATCAGCTAAGCTGCGTTCAGTATCAGATTCTGACGTAATTGTTGCGTGCACCGCATTTTATACTGCCTCTCGAGCTCGTCAGTATTTGCATGCGATTTGCATACTTCGCGTCAATTGGCCAGTCATTTGGACTGGCGGGAGCCAATAGGACTTCAGGAAAGGTTGGAAGGGAAGGAGTTCCCATAACGGAGAAATATCTCCGTGATGTCTCGTTCCCGCTCTCAGGGAACCGAGGTTACGATAGTAACCGGAGCGTTTTTCATGTTTTTTTTTTTTTTAATTGTTCAGCCCTAAAATAATGCATTGCAATTTTTATTTTATTTATTTTAACACTTTCCCTGTTTATTTATTTGGTTATTTTTAGATTTTTCATGGTTTAAAGGATAAATATTACATTAAAATAATTAATTTATGAAATTCTTTTCTATGCAGATACACTTCCCAACAAAATCACCTCGCTCATTCTAGAATAATTAATTATTCCCAAATTGAGCTATTTAAGTCGTCTTTTACCAAATTTGAAATAATTTAAAACATGAAAAATTTAATTTATTATATATTTTTATATATAAAAATCATTAAAACCCTGATGTAATGGCCTTGTACTCTGAAGACTTTTCAGTCTGTTTTTTTCCAGTGTCGTGCATGTGAGTGATGAAAAGGGGCTTTCGAATGTTCTTGCGTCTGGATGAACTGTGTTTGGTGCAGGTTCTGTATGAGTTCTGTGTTTTCTGCAGGACGATGACCGCTGTGAGGAGTGGGAGCGTCACGAGGCCCTCCACGAGGACGTCACCAGTCAGGAGCGCACTAAAGAGAGGCTGTTTGAGGAGGAGATCGAGCTCAAGTGGGAGAAGGGCGGATCGGGCCTCGTCTTCTACACAGACGCTCAGTTCTGGCACGAGGAGGAAGAAGGAGGTAGAAACAGCTATTTTGAGTTCATACTGAAAGGTTTCTGTTGGTCCAGTAGTACAGATTTCTACTTGCCATGCCAATATTTTAATTGGTCCCATCACAAAAATAGATGAAGTTTTTCATGAAATAAATTGTTTTTTGTGTAGATTTTTAATTATTATGTATAAATATTTATCATTTTTATAAATATTTATTATGTTTTAATAAGTAATATCTATTATTTATTTTTTTATTATTGTAATTTTTTTTTCACATTTGTATTATTATTATTTTGTAAAAAAAATTAGAATTAAAAGTTAAAAAGTATATATATTTTTTTCATAAAGTAAGGTATTATTTTTAAATTTACATTAATATTTTTTAGAATTAAAATTTTTAACTTTGATTTTTAAAATAAATTAAAAATATTAAATTTATAATTAATATTAACAATTATAAATTTGATATTTGAGGTTAAGATTTGTTTTATATTTTATTTATTTTATATAATTTTTACATGTTTTATATCATTTTATATTTGCATTTATAATTTTTATGTTTTCAGGAATGCTTATAAATACAATAAACAATTCATATGTTCATTAATATATTCATATAACTTTGGTTAATAAAATTCACAGTAATATCTGGAAATTATACAGTTTTTGTAATTAATCCTGGAAACACAAACACTATTTATTCATTTATAAATAAAACATTATGGGTTAGTTTTGTAATTTTTAACACATTTCTTCATAAGACTGTCACACGTTATTCTAGCATTTTAACAAAACCAATAATTTTGCCTTGGTGACAAGTTTAAAAAGGCCCTGAATAGGAAAGATGCTCAAAGTGCGCTCATAATTGCCAGCGTATATTTATGAATTACTCTGTTGATGTGATTGCCTCTCTTTGATTTTGCACAGATTTCGATGAGCAAACAGCAGACGACTGGGACGTGGATATGAGCGTCTACTATGACAAAGGTAAAGGTTCATGATCAGATCATTGTGAGCGCTGTGATAGAAGAGCAGCATCAGACGTGACTGTGATTGTGTGTGTTTCTCCTCAGACGGAGGCGATATGGACGCCAGAGATTATGTGCGCATGCGGTCTGAGAGGAGGCTGCGGGACGGTCTGGACGGTCTGCCGGGACGCCAGCAGAAAATCGGCAGCTTTGAGCGCTTTACAAAGGTTCGGATGTTTTTAAAGGGGTCAAGAACTGCCTTTGTTGTTTATTTTGTACTGTTCTGACACAATCTGCATTGTAAAAAGCGCTATATAAATAGTGGTGACTTGACTTGTTCTCTGAGGTGCACTTTAGGGCTGTAAAATTTTTTTTTTGAATTTCGAATATTCGTTGAATTTAAAATAAAAATCCGAATTTTAGGTGTGCGTCAGGCAGCCTTATCAGCAGCGCACGAGATGCGATGACGATGTGAGTGTCGTTGCATTTTAATGCTTTTGTTAGCCTATCCAGTTGAAGCCACTAGATGCGGCGCTGCTACGTTGTTCATTCAAAATATTGCAGAAAAAGAGAGCATCAATGCGGGGAAGATGTTGTTTACGTCAAAACTGAAAGAGCCACATGTTTAGAAAGCCATGTAAAATTAATGCAAGTTCAACTTTGAAAAAAAAAACCCCGTATTTCGAGACTTTATGGCAGTTTTTCCCATCCCACTGCATCTCATGTTTTTAAATGAGAAATGTACTCTGTGTGATTGGCTTTCCGCCCTTTGTATTAAACTATGCATACATACATGATGCTGTTTTGTTTATAGTTGTTTAAGCAACTTAAAAATTATAAAATTATGCACTTTTTTTCACAGATAGTAATTTTATCTCATGCTTTGAAGAAACGTGCATTAGTAATATTTTGCTCGATGCGCCCTCTTGTGGCCTCAGGAGAGAAGCCAAAAGCTTTTCTTCACCCTAACTGAAATGATGCATTTTAAATTCGAATATAATTTGAATTTTGATCATATTTAAGTACAAAATTCGAATTTAGTTTTTCAGCCATTTTGACAGCCCTAGTGCACTTATAATGTTATCAAGATTTTTACATCAAAAAAACATCATAATTTAGAAGTTTTAGGCTATTCTCTGTCCTGTTTTTAACCCCCTCATCAGAACCTAATGTTCCTAATGTTGGGATCAGAAGGAAGGAAAGGCAAACTCTGTTTTTCTACAACTTGGCACTGAACAGCATCTTGTTGTCTTCAGGGGCCTGTTCTTCGTTCGTCGCTAACTCAGTTAGCTGGATTTGATTGTTGATGATTTGGCGTGATCTTGGATTGGTTGGTTCTTCGAAGCTCATCATAGCACCATAGCAACAGGTCCTTAAGCTTAAACCTGCTCGGGAGCAGCTTATTTCATGTAAACAGGATTAGATCGCGTCTTTGTAAGCAGAACTGATACTTAAATCTGTCCCAGCCACTGCTACTTTATTAGAAGAGTACCCTACTGATCCAGGGACAGTAATTTACAATAATAATAATTTAAAAATGAATGCAAAAAATATTATAATGTTGTGTTGTCATCATCTATAACACTATAGACACTGCCAGGCTTACTCGTTGAAAAATGTATTCGTGATGAAATAATTACTTTATAATTGTATTGGAATCTTGCTGTACAGTTAATATGAGTCGTGCATTAATTAAAAAAAATAAAAACAGTGCACATTTCATTTATCTATTATTACATTTATGTAGTTTTGTTTCCAGAAATTTGTCAAGTTTTTTCGTCTGGTTTCTTTTTTAATTATATGATGTCATTACGTTGCTGTCTTGCCGCCAGCCAGTCGCTGCATTTCTGATCGTGGTCTCGAGTATCGATACATCTGCCCTTTACGGGGAACACGAGGACGCGAGAATCTTAGACAACTTAATCCAGATATTTTAATCCGTGGGCGGGGCTAAACAGGCAGTGATGTAGAGTCGGTGGGCGGGGCCAAACAGGCAGTGAGGCGGTGCTTATCCACACTATTACATCATAGAGTGGTACATTCCACAAGCTGTCATTTTGGCAGACTGCCTTCAATATCAGCTGTTTTTGATTTGAAGTTTTGAGTTCTGAAACTTACAGGATGTTTTTACATTACAATGACCTCTTACATGTCAAAAGATCAAGAGAAATTTGGTTTCTCAGTTCATGACCCCTTTCATTCACTGCAAGATTTAGTATATTGTATTTACGTTCACATTTTTATAACCAAAAAGTATACATGTCATTTTTCATACATTTGATTTTATTTTATGTCACCATTTATACTTTTTTTTTTTGGAAAAATTAAGATTTCGTTGACATTTATTTATTTATTTTTATTAAAATTACAAATTGTTAATGTGTTTTTCATAAATTAAGATTTACCATTTTATAATTGTATGATTTAATGTATATTTTTTATAAATTAATAAATTAAGATTTATGATTTTATATTTACACTTTTTGTCAATAATTAAAATAAAAACTGATCAATTGTGTGTGTGTGTGTGTGTGTGTGTTGTAGGGAGTGGGCCGGCGTGTGATGGAGAAGCAGGGCTGGAGGGACGGAGAAGGGCTCGGGAACAGCCGGATGGGAATCCCAGAGGCGCTGGAGAACGAAGGCCAGCATCCCAACTGTAAGAGAGGCTTCGGGTGAGTCCGGAGTTCACTGATGATTTCCTGCTGTTCATCTGGATTCAGAACCAATGTGTGCGACATTTCCAGCTTCAAAACAGTTGTGCTGCTGATAGGGATGGAACGATTACCGGTTTCACGATAAATCACGATAAAATGCCCTGACGGTTAGTATTATCGTTTAAAATTTAATTATCATCAAAACCGTATTTGATTATCGCGATTTTGAAAACTCGCGGTAAATTGACTCGGCAACTACTGAGAAAAACTGTTTCATCTGAGCATGTGGCCCTTTAAGCATTATCGTATCGCATATCGAATATCGCATTATTTAATGAGTTATCGCATATCGCATTTTTCTTCAATATCGCACAGCCCTAGTGGAGACTGTGATACATTTTATTTTTCAGAATTCACAGATAATAATAATAATTTATGCATTTAGCAGATGCTTTTATCCAAAGCGACTTGCAGTGCATTCATTTCAAATATAAATCTTTTGTCACATTAGAAATGTCTTTACTGTCACTTTTAATCGATTTAATGCATTTTTGCTGAATAAAAACATTAACTTTTATTAAACACACACACACACCCCAAACATTTAAATGGTAATATATCTCAGTTTCCACAAAAATATCGGGCAGCACAACTGTGTTCAACATTGATAATAATCAGAAATGTTTCT